GGAGCCCTGAGTCAGGGGCAGGGAAGCAGGAGGGGAAGTCAGGGGAAGGGCGGTGCAGGCAGAGGAGCAGCCGTGCAAAGGTCCTGAGCTGCGTGTGGGCGAGGCCTGCCCCTGCCCTTCAGCCAGGCTTGGGAGCAGTGCCCACACACCGGGCAAAGCAGCCAGCACCCTGGTGTGCCCTCTGTCATTGGGAGTGGCGTCTGTGCGGGTCTAGAAGATGGGGACTGTTCTGAGTCCCGCGTTACAGGTGTGGAAACTGAGGCTGGAGGGGCGTCTCCCACAGCCCCATCGCCAGGCAGTGGCGGCAGGATCTAGACTGGAAGCCTGGCCCCCACTCCAGGTCACCTCTCAGGCTCCTGGACTCATATCCAGTGCCCTTCCTCGGGGAAGCGTCCCTGTCCCCCGCCCGGGTTGGGCACTGGGTGTCTCTGCTGATATTTCCACCCCGCTTCATGACTATTCCGTGACTCCGCTTCCCCCGCCAGCCTTGGTGAGCCCCCTCGTTTCTCTGAGTGTCTCCTCCCTCCAGCACTTTGCCTGGTACACAATAGGCGCTCAGTAATGCATTCCACCAAGAGCACTGAGAAGCAGGTATCAGGAGAAGCAGGCATCAAAGGGAGACACAGAAGCTCAGAGAAGGGAAGTGACCTCCCCGAGGTCACACAGCACATACGCGGTGATGACTCCTCTGTGCGGTGTTCTAGGCTGGTCGTGGGGGTGGGGAACCATGAGGGACGGCCGCCCACATCCCCCTTCCGGACCTCTCTGTGGCCAGGAAGGGAGCCATCCCCCATCCCCCGTCCTGTGGCGGGGGGGGGGGGGGGGGGGGGGGGGGGGGGGGGGCCTGGCCTGCAGCCTCCTGAGATGCGGTTTCTGGGCCTCCAGCCAACGCGACAGTCTGGGAACGGAGCCTGCTTGAGTCACAGGTGGCTGAGCTGACACCAAGCTGCCATCGAAGCAGCTGGGTGGATGCAGAGGGCAGGGAGGGCTGGGGGTGCCGTCTCTGAGCCTCACTTTGCTCCTCTGGGAAATGGGGATGGCAGAAGGGTCCACCTTGGGACAGCGAGCACAGCAATAGCAAAGGGCCTACGACTGAAATGAGCTGGGCACTGGCGTTATTAGCCAGATGGGGAAGAGGGCGCCCCCAACCCCGTCCTCTGCCCCCGGGGCCCCCGGTCTGCAGAGATGTCCACCTCCCAGTGAGCGAGCCCTCCGAATGGGGCAGGCCGGTCCCGGAGGACGGGACCCACTCCTTCCCCTACTTCCGCCCTGTCCCGCTTGCAAGGGGGAGCCACGGGACCCCAGCCTGGGAGTTTTCACCCTGACGCTCCCTGGTTCCGGAGTGTGTTCTGAAAAGACCCCTCTCATCAGACAGGGAGGCCCCCCTCCTACCCTGAGGCTCCCAAGCCCAGGGGCACCCACTGGTCCCCAAACTGTCCGCGGTAGTGACAGGGAAAGGCTCTGAGCACGCTGCCTCCGCCAGGCCGAGGGTGTCGGTGGGAGAGCCCTGGTACTCAAACACACACAGGTGACTGCAGACTAGCCAAAGGAAGG